GCTTTGACAACCCGGGATTAGCAACTGCTTATTTCTGTTGCGATATTTTTTATTTCTGTTTGGAAACTTATTGCTCAAAACGAGTCATCAAAATTAAAACGAATTTCAATTGCGTGTTGAAAATAAGAGAGGGACTCACAACGTTGCTACATGGTTGTAAGGCAAAAAAAGTTTCTACCGTACCGGGTTCGAACCGGTGACCTAAGGAATACTGATTTGGTAATAACTACAGCTCTACCAACTGAGCTAACGGTAGGTTTTAAAAACTAACTTCTATTTCATACTTTTATATATGCAAACTATGAGAAACCTCTTGTCGTTTTATTACAAATTTGTCAGAAACTAGTTGTGATGCTAATTGATCGCCTGCCACAGTTGGCCCAGGCTTGCCCGCGTTAATTGGTCGCGCTACCTCTCACAGTTCGACCAGGCTTGCCCGAGTTGCGTCAGAGATTTTGCATGCTAATTGTCGCCTGTCACATTTGGCCCAGGCTTGCCCGCATTAATTGGTCGCGCTACCTGGAGTTATAGATTTTGCAAGCTCGTTATAAAATCCGCCAGATTGTTAGCCGAACAAAGTGACGTCATAGATTTTGCATCCTAATTACTTCCCGCACCAAATCAGACTTGCATACTAATTACTTCCGCCGCCAAATCAGACTTGCATACTAATGACTTCCGCCGCCATAGTGGGGGGCTTTACTACTTAGGATGTAGCAGGCGTCTCATGGCGCAGGCTGTGTACGATGGTAGTTGAAGGATCTTGTAGATGGGACCACGGTGAAAAAGACGGAGCACGAAGCCTAATAGTTTTCCTTTACGCAAGTCAATAAATCGATTTGTATCATCCTACATATCAAGATTTTGTTGGCATTTCACTCGATTAAATAATAGTTGAAGGATCTTGTGGATGAAAATTATCGAGTGGAAATTATATAGTAAGTTTTTAGACGTTCTCTGGTTTTTCAATATTTATTATTACGAGCTTTCGACTGCCAGTCTGCAGTCGCAGACGCCAAGTCGAAAGCTCGTCATAATAAATATTTAAAAACCAGAGAACGTCTAAAAACTCGTGAATAATCCTGGTTTCGCTTCAAACATATTTAAAGGAAATTTATACATTAGACGTAACCAGAAACAGCTGCGAAAAATGCAACTTTAGGTCCCTGGCAGGAATCGAACGTGTGGTCGAAACTGTGAACCAGGGCTGCAGGTTCGATTCCTGCCAGGGACCTAGGGCACTTTCCATTAACACGACCAAACCGGTCAGAACGGTCAAATTGTTGAATGGAACCCAAAACGTTTGGGCTTCTGACCTATCTGACCAGAAAATTTAGATAGAATTAGAATGAGCAATTTGAGAAACATAGACAAAATCGTTCCATTGGTACAGAGAAAAGAATTCGGGTCTGACCGGTTAGGCCATTAAATGGAAAGCGCCCCTATACTGTAGTTGCATTTTTCGCTGCTCTTCTTGGTTAGGTTTAATATATAAATTTCCCAGTTTTGTGACTCTTGTTTTAAATTTTTCTGGTTTCCAGTGTAACCCGCGTATATATAACTCAAAAATACTTCAAACATCTAAATTCGTCTATTATTTTCGTATTCTTTTAATTCCAGGCAAATCAATATTTGAATACAATGCATAATTAGTCCACTTGTTAGACTTGACATGAGCGTATTCTAGGGGAAAGTTAGTCCTTGATAACCTAAATGGTGCAAATGTTTTTAAAAGTGTTGCCTCTTCTCGTTTCAAAAACCCTATCAATATTTTGGTGCTAAAATCACCCTTGCAAATCAACTCTACAGCGGCGAATATTTGTTCCATAGGTATATAAAAGAACGGTGGGTCACAGATCACAACGCGAAATGTTTCCTCTTGATTTTCCGGTGTTCGAATGTCAAAATATCTGAACTTTGGTAGGTAGTTAAATCGTTCATCTATGTCGAAAAGCCATTCTGATCTATTTTCTTCAAAATGCCAAGCGTGGGCCAGACTCGGTGTTCCCAGACAACAAGGGTGAAATTGATAACGTAAGGCGTCCATCAGTTTATGTACGCATTCTGTAGTCCAGAAGTATTGTTCGAGATCGCGACGTTCCGTAAAGCCTTTCTAAAATATTCTATTCAAGAATATTCTAAAATGTCTGTATGCAAATTTACGATATAGAAAGACGATTGTTCCAACTCATATTTATATATTCATCCGCCAACGCAAAACTCTTATTTGACCTTATTTATATTCAATTACGTCATTTTGGCAAAGTTACCCCAAGTGGTGCAATATTCACAACCTCGTCCTACGCTCTCTGCACGGTTTTGGTAATTTTCCAATTTGTGTTGGAATATGGTTAAAAAGCTGTCAAAGTACCAAGTTTTCTCAAATCACCTAGCTTTGTAAAGAAACCATTGAACATTCGCTATTTTCCAGTCATTTCTATAGATTTTGCATAATCTATTTGCTGAACTTTTAACAATGTCAACTAGACACAAAAGCTCCCCATGCAATTTTTCCATCTTTTGTATT